TATTATTGTATTGCAGTCTCTCTCTCTCTTTAGATCTAATAATATTTGCTTTACATATTTTGGTGCTTCAATGTTGGGTGCATATATACTTACACTTGTGATATCATCTCATTGAATTAATTTCTCTATCATTATATAGTGGCCTTCTTTGTTTCTTTTTATTGTTTTTAACTTAAAGTCTCTTTTATCTGATAAAAGTATAGTCACTCCTGCTCACTTTTGGTTTCTGTTTGCATTTTTTCTATCCCTTTCAGTCTGTCTTTAATGATGGGGTAGGTCTCTTGTAGGCAACATATAATTAGGTCTTGTTTTTAAAAATCCAGTCAGCCACTGTATATCTTTTAATTGCAGAATGTAATTCATTTACATTAAAGATTGTTACTGAGTAAGGACTTACTCCTGCCATTTTGTTGACAATTTTCTGGTTGTTTTATAGATCTTTTGTGCTTTTATTTGTCTCTTGTTTTCCTCTGTGATGTGGTGATTTTCTGTGGCACTAAGCTTTGTTTTCTTTCTCTTTCTGATTTGTGTATCTACTGTAATTTGTTTCTTTGTGGTTACCATGGGGCTAACATAAAGAGTCCTATAGTTATAATAGACTATTAAGCTGATAACAACTTAATTTTGGTCACATAAAAATCCTCCAGAGGGCCAGGCGTGGTGGCTCATGCCTGTAATCCCAGCACTTTGGGAGGCTGATGTGGGCAGATCACAAGGTCAGGAGTTTGAGACCAGTCTGACCAATATGGTGAAACCCCATCTCTACTAAAGATAAAAAAATGAGCCAGGTGCAGTGGTGTGCACCTGTAATCCCAGCTACTCAGGAGGCTGAGGCAGGAGAATCACTTGAACCTGGGAGGCAGATGTTGCAGTGAGCTGAGATTGCACCACTGCACTCCAGTCTGGGCAACAGAGCAAGACTCCATCTCAAAAAAAAAAAAAAAAAAAAAAAAAGAATCCTCCAGACTCCACACAAACACACACAATTTGTATTTTGTTAGCCTTACTTTACATGTTGGTCTTTTGCATGTTCCTTAGCCATTAATTGTAGTTGTTGATGTTTTTGACCTTTTTGACTTTAAACCATCATACTAGAGGATTTAAAGATTTACACAGCGCCATTACAGCATTGGGGTACTCTGAATATAAGTATGGATTTACATATACTGGTGAGCTTTGTACTTTCATATGTTTTCATGATAGTAATTATCATCCTTTTGTTTCCAGTTGTAGTACTCTCTTAAGCATTTTTTTTTTTGTCACACCTGTCTATTTGTGATGAATTCTCTCCATTTTTGCTTATCTGGGAAGGTCTCTACTTCTCCTTTATTTCTAAAGGAGAGCTTTGCAGGATATAGTTCACTTAATGGTGTCTCATAAGTCTTGTAGACTTCTTCATTCTTTTTAACTTCTTTTTTGTCTCTGACTGGGTTATTTCTAAACACCTGTCTTCAAGTTTAGAAATTCTTTCTTCGACTTGATCTAGTGTGTTGTTGAAGCCTTCATTTATTTTTGTTTCATTCATTGAATTCTTCAGTTCCAAGGCTTTTTTCCCTCTATTTTAATTGATATACAACATTTGTAAATATTTATAGGGTACATGTGGTATCTTGATAAATGAATACAGTGTGCAATAATCAATTCAGGATATTTAATATACCCATTACTTTAAACATTTATTATTTCTTTGTGTTGGGAACATTTCAAATTCTTCAGCTCCAAGATTCTGTTCCCTCTTTTTTTATTGATCCATAACATTTGTAAATATTTATGGAGTATGCGATATTTTGATAAATTCATACAATGTGTAGTGATCAATTCATAGTATTTAGGATATTCATCACCTTAAATATTTATTATCTCTTTGTGTTGAGGACATTTCAAATCTTCTAGCTACTTTGAAATGTATAATATATATGCAATATTTTGAATATACAATAAATTGTTGCCTATAGTCACTCTACTGTTCTATCAAACACTAGAACTTATTTCTTCTATATAACTATATTTTTGTACCCATTAACCAACCTTTCTTCACCTACCTCCCACCCTTTCTAGCCTCTGGTAATTATCATTCTACTCTCTCCCTCCACAAAATTAACATTTTAAGCTCTCACATATGAGTGAGAACATGTGATATTTGTCTTTCAGTACCTAGCTTAATTCACTTAACATAGTGACCATTGGTTTCATCCATGTTGCTGCAAATAATAAAATTTCATTCTTTTTTATGGCTGAATAGTATTCCATTGCATATATATACACCACATTTTCTTTACCTAATCATCCAAGATATGGTTGATTCCATATCTTGACTATTATAAATGGTGCTGCAATAAACATGAGGGTGCAGGTAACCCTTTGATATACTGATTTTCTTTTATTTGGGTAAATACCCAGTAGTGGGACTGCTGGATCATATGGTAGTTCTATGCATTTTTTGAGAAACATCCATACTGTTTTCCATAATGAATATGTTAATTTATGTTCTCTCCAACAGTAAATTTCCTTTCCTCTGTCTCTGTACCAGCATTTGTTATCTTTTTTGTCTTTTTGATAATACCAGTACTAACTGGGGTAAGAAGATACCTCACTGTGGTTTTGATTTGCATTTCCTGATGATTAGTGATGCTGAACATTTTTTCCTATACCCATTGGCCATTTGTATGTCTTCTTTTGGGAACGGTCTATTCAGATCTTTTGCTCATTTTTTAATGGGATTATTTGTTTCAGCTCCAAGATTTCTGTTTTGTTCTTTCTTTTTTTGAGACAGGGTCTCACTTTGTTGCCCAGGCTTGAATGCAGTGGTGCAATCATGGCTCACTGCAACCTCAATCTTTAGGGCTCAAGTGATCTTCCCACCTCAGCATCCTGAGTAGCTGGAACTACAGATATGCATTGCTACATCCAGCTAATTAAAACAAAAATTTTTTATAGCGATATTGTTTCACTCTGTTGCCCAATTTGGTCTTGAACTCCTGACCACAGGTGGTCTTCCTGCCTCAGCCTCTCAAAGTGTTGGGATTACAGGCATAAGCCACTGCACCCAGCCCTGGTTCTTTTAAAACATCTATTTCTTTGTTAAATTCCTCATTCAGATCATAATTTTTTTGTTTTATTGAATTATTTGTATTATTTGGTATATTCTTGAATTTCTTTAAGATTATTATTTTGAATTCCTTTTTAGGCATTTCATAAATATCATTTTCTTTGGCATCTGTTACTGGAGGCTTATTGTTTCTCTGAGGGTGTCACATTTATTTGCTTTTTCTTGTGTCCCTATGTTGATATCTACACACTCTGTGGAACAGTTACTGTTTTCAATTTTATGGAATAACTTTTATAGAATGAGGCTTTTCCCTGTAAATGGGCCGTAGGCTGTCAGTTGGGAATGGTGCACTGGTTTTGGTTCTAAGTGGACTGAGTCATGTGGTCTCCATACAGATTATTTAGCTATGACCTTTGTCGGCAATGTCTGCAATTGTGTCAGTGGCCTTGGCTATGGGAGTTTTTGACAAAGGTAACATAATGTTTCTGGGGCCTAGGGCATGGAGGTGGTTGTTGGGCCAGATATCTGCAGGTGTGGTGGGTTGACAGGCTGTGTAGTGGGCTCTCTTGGAGGATGAGCCCACCACTAGGCTGACTCTCGGGGCAGGTGTGGGTGTAGCATGCCAGGTGGCTGTGAGGGGTTTCTCTGTGTGATGGGACCACCTCTGAGCCAGCTCTTGGTCTGGGAGTAGGCTGACTGCCCGTGCAGGGCAGTAGCCCCAATTTCTATTAGTAGTTTCATGCAGTTTTAGAAAGTCTTCACAGGGTGGAGCATATGACCTAGACTAAACCAATGATAACATTTTATTCCTTCAGCTACAGTGATTGATTCGGAGATGGATTTGTGACCTAAGCTTGCCCAGTCAGAAGGAATCTTAGGATTCTTGCAGAGATTGCTGAGTCAAAGACATGCTCTTTTGCTATGGAAAGTATAGTGTGTGCATGTGAAAATTGGAACCGTGAACATCATCTTGCTATGATGAAGGAAACCTGGCTGAGAATGAAGCTGACATAAGGAAGTAAAAAAAAAAAAAAAAAAAAAAAAGGTACCATGATAGACAAACAGAATGAGAGTCTTGATCAAATTATGCCTAAAATCTGTTACTTTCTGTGTTCTTCATATTTGTGAACCAATATGTTGCCTGTGTTGTTTGCTATTACTTTTTGGCCCTTATATTCTAAGTCAGGCTTGGGATGGATTTTCTTATTTGCAGCCAATTATATCCTAATTGAAAGAGACATCCTGATATGGTTTGGTTCTGTTTTCCCGCACAAATCTCATCTCCAATTGTAGTCCCCACGTGTCAAGTGGTGGAGGTGATTGGATTATGGGGACGGTTTCCCACATGTCGTTCTTATGATAGTGAGTTCTCACGAGATCTGATGGTTTAAAAGTGTGGCACTTCCCCCTTCACTCTCTCCCTCCTGCCACCATGTAAGACATGCCTTGTTTCCCCTTCATCTTCCACCATAATTGAAAGTTTCCTGAGGCCTCTCCACACCATGAGGAGCTGTGAGTCAATTATAAATTGACTCTTTTCTTTATAAATTACCCAGTCTCAGAGAGTTCTTTATAACAGTGTGGAAATGAACTAATACACGTCGCTTCACCTTCTACTACATACAGAGCTAACAACAACAAAAAGAGGAAAGTACTTTGATAGCTCTTCTGAAGGAAGGTAGAGTTACAGATTGAATCAGAGATATCATTTCCTCTGTGATCCTTCCCTGATGTCCCCAGGTCTGGGCAAAGAGCCCTCCTTGGTATTCCCATAGCTCCTTTTCATTCTCATCTCTTATAGGAAAAGGAGTCTTTAGCATAATACATCATTGCAATTATGCTATGAGAGCCAATCAGTATCAGCTGGATGTTTGCTTATCTTGTGTTCAGTTCATTCTGAGGAAGTTAAGAGAATTACCGTGAAGAAAGGTATCTGCCATTTTTCTTTCAGGATGAAGCCAGGAATAACAAAACCATGCCTCTGACCATGTAGGGAACTGAAAGGATGGAGTCAAGGCCTTGAGGAGACAGCAGAGAGGCAACCAAAAGAAGATGGCAGGCAGCCAGAAGAAAGCACATTCCCAGGTACCCATTTGAGGGAATCCAATGCGGAAAAGTAAAGAAATTTGGATGTTTTAAGTGTGGTGATCAGATTATGCTCTTTCTGGCCAAGGACTAGGACAAGGCCATCCAAGTGCAGAACAAAATGGTGGGTTTGCATTTGTTTGCTGTCAATCTCCCTTATCAGGTCAACTCCATGAGGACAAGGATCATAATGGCTTGGTCACCATTATCTCCCCACAGCACAGCACAATGCCTGGGACATATACTCTATAAATATATGTGGGATGGATGGATGGTTGGTTGGTAACTCTCAGTTTATATCTTTGGGCTGAGTATTATAGTTAACAACACAATTTCCCAGAGTGACTCAGTTAAAGTTGAGCTTCTTTTATGCAAACTCTCCTTCCCTGTCCTTCGCTGAATTTCACTGACAGACCATGAAAACTCAGAATAGAAGGGGATAATGTTGAGGCAAATCCTATAATGTCAAGGCAAATCCTATCCCCCATCTAGAGTCCAGGGAAGGAAAATAATCACTTTACTAAAGTCTGGAGTTCTAGTTCCTCTGTGTGATGGTTGATTTAAGGTCAACCTCTGCTTGACTTAAGGTAATGATGTATTATTTTTTAACATCTTCTTTATGGGCCACACTCATGAAAATGTCCAAACACAAGAGAAAGATGATACCTTGTTCTCTTGCTCCACATGTACATATATCTGACTTACATTCAACATTCACTTAAACTGTGATTCAATGAGCATCTACTATGTGCCATGCCCTGGGCTCAGCCTTGAGAATAGAATAAAGAACAAGACACAGCCTCTATTCTTACCTAGTTTGTAATCTAGTGGGGGATGACAAGCCAATGATGATGATATAGCACAAGACGCAGAGAGGCAGAGGTTGCGGTAGGATCCCACAGAGGAACATTGAAGTCAGCTGGTGGGATTGAGAAGCACTTCCTGGAAGAGGTTTTGCCTAAGCTAAGCCCATGGAAAAGCACTGGCCAGGTGAAATGGGTACAAAGGAAAGGAATGTTTCAGGAGGAAAGTGGGAGTGGTGATTGGAGGGTGACGGCGCCAGAGTGAAGAGCTGGGGTCAAGCATTTTAGGGCCTTCTAAGTCATGCTTAGCATTTCAGACATCCTAAGAGCAGTGTGTGCTGGAGTCACTGGGAAGTTTTAATATGGGAATAATATCACATGTGGCCCATAGGAACTTCCTCTGGGGCAGTGTGGAAGGGAGATAGGAGAGGTCAAGGTTGGAAATGAGGACACCCGTTTGGCGGGTATTTTAACATTAGCACATGGACTCACTAGGGTCCAAGCATGTGTGCTCGCTCACTCACTCACTCTCTCTCTCTTTCTCTCCCTCTCCCCCCCCTCCACACACACACCCCAAAGATATATGCAAACACCACCAAACTATGCCCACCACTGGGGTTAGAAAACAATGTCTTAAGCTGCTCCATTTCCTAATGCCTTAATTTTCTCATCTGTAGAATGGGAATAGCTGCAACTGTCCCTCAGTGTCTCCCAGGATTGCTCAGAGAGTGGAAATGTCATATGGTGAAAGCCTTTGCAGCTCAGTGTGGATAAGTGCAAAGGGTTATTTCTTCCTGGCCCCTTTTCATTTCATCCAGTCCTTCAATTCCCGGCATCTGAAGCATCTCTGGGAATTGCATATGGAATAAGACATTCTGGATGGGCCAGCAGATCTTCAGAAAGTCAGGTTTTAATTAGATTTCCACTCAATCTCAAAGTCCCCTACTCTAGTAGGGAAATTGAGGTCTTACCTCTAGACACTATAACTGAGAAACTATAAAATTGGCTGGAGACTCCCAGGCAAGGGTAGGAAGCCCTCTGGCTTGGGACTCTTTTGAAGGGATGATTCCACTGATTGGAGAGTGTTCACACTCTTGGCTGTGGAGTACCTGTGTGAGTCTCCTAGGACTTCTTAACAAATTGACACAGACTAGGTAGCTGAAACAACAAAAATGTATTTCTTATTCCGGAGGCGTCTCCTCACTTTATAATCTAGTCGGGAATGACAAGCCAATGTTGATAATATAGCACAAGATGCAGAGAGGCAGAGGTTACGGTAGGAGCCCACAGAGGAACATCAAGGTAGTAGCAGGATTGGTTCCTTCTGAGGCTGCCCTACTTGGCTGTCATCTCGGTGTGTTCTCACATGGTCTTCCCTCTGAGCATATCTGTGTCCTAAGTTCCTCTTCTTATAAGGACACTAGTCATAGTGTCCACCCTGGTGACCTCATTTTTACTTATTTAGCCCTTTAAAGACCCCATCTCAAGTACAGTCACATGTGAGGTGCTAGGGGAATTTTGGCAGGAGTGGGAAACAAAATTCAGCCGATAATAATTCTCAAATGGTCTATTTAGATAGTGGATATAAACAAACAGTGAGGAAACCCAAAGACTGTACACATTGCTGCTGAAGTTTATCCTCAGACGAAGAGTCCTCAATTGAATAGATTTGCTGTCATCTCAATTGCGGCAACATCCACATTTTCCTGTTCTTTATCTCAGCTCCGAGGTGCTGCCGCAGAAAGGGGCTGGTCTACCTTCAGTTCTCTCCTTCTTTACCACTTTGCAGAACAAGTTTTGCTATGGCAACCACTGGCTGGGAAGAGATAACCCAGGGGGTGCCAGGGTCAGCTCATGTTCTTCTCTCCTCATTTCTTGGACAGCTCTGTTGTGCTTCACCTGCTGGGTAAATCCCCAGAGAGGAGCTTTTTGCTAATAATTTTGTGTGTGTGTATGTGTGTGTGAGTGTGCACCTGCATGCATACATGTGCGTGTACGTGTGCATGTGTGCCTGTGTGTGTATGTCTGTGTGTGTGTGTGTGTGTGTGTGTGTGCATGTGTCTGGGCAAAGTGGTACTTTCAAGGAAGTAGCCAAATAGAAGACAGGATCACCCTGGCGAGGGAAGCCATTCATTCATTGACCAATGGGTCACACTTGGACTTTCTGTCTCAGACCAACCCACGTTCTAGTGACTGTGCAACCCTTGGCAGTTTTTAACAGGCTCCTCCTGCCTTCCCAGCAGATGGGAATCATATTCTGCAGACTTCAAATCCTCTTGATTCTCTCTCCTCCAGGTTTTGAAGGCAGATTTTATCTATTATGCCTCTGGGGCTTTGGTGTCTGGGCCATTCACAGCTACCCACCTGGAGACCCCTGAGATGTATCAGGAGCGGCAGTTTGTCATGGGAAGAGGAGACAGCAACGTGAAAGCAATGTGAATTTTTGCTATTCGAAAGGGCACATGACTCACTGAGTCATCTGCCTGAAAGCCATCTTCAGTGTCCCCTGGACCTTGAAGACTGTGGGAGGCAGTGTTTGTGGATGAGAGAGGGGGCATTCAGAACAGAGATCTGTTAAAGTCTCCTAGCACAACTCAGGTCCTCCACCTTGGGGGCTGTCTCGGGTGGTCCCAAGCATCCTAAAGCCTCTGGAATCTGCCCTGAACATCTGGATTTCCTGCTAGGGTCTTCAGTTTGCCCAATGATGTGTCCATGGCCAGCTTTGTGCAAAGTTTGCCGTTCCAGCTCAGTTGCTCTGCTGCAATTTACAAAACCTGCTAGTGGACAGACACAGCCTTGAGCAGTCCCTGTGGCTTCTCAGGGTGTCTGTCAAAGATGTGCACACAGAATTCAACAAAGTTCCAGTTCCTCCTTCGGGAGGATAATAATTTTGTGTGTGTGTGTGTATGTGCGTGCATGCATACATGTGTGTGTGTGCGTGTGTGCATGCACGCGTGTGCGTGCATGTGTGCGTGTGTGTGTGTGTGGCTGGGCAAAATGGTACCTTCAAGAAGGTAGCCAAATGGAAGATAGGATCACCCTGAAGAGGGAGGCCATTCATTCATTGACCTTATCCTTGAGAAGCCAGACGTGGTACCTACAGAGGCCAATTTAGATCTCCAGTTGTTTCTCTACTTCCCTATTGGCCCTATTTGTATATTTCTAGCATGCCTTTTCTTTATTTGTTCATTCACTCATTCCTTTATTCCACAAACATCTATTGAGCACCAATGATCTGCTAAGTATGGCTTAAATTTACCCTGGGAACACAGAAGTGAAATAAACAAAACTCCTGCCCTTGGGTGCTTATATTTTAGTGTGAGAGGGAGGGTGAGTGGATGGAGGGAGGTAGGTCTTTGCATCTGGGTTTTCATGGATTATAACAAATTTTCACAGCACTTTTAATTCCATGATAATCTCTAACTGGAAAAGCAATCCCTTCAATACATACCTCCCACCACTTCATCCTGAATCTCTGTCCTGGATTGTGAAGGGATGTCAGACATGGCAATATGCTTTTATGTATTTTCCTTTTGCTTAACTCAGGGCTTTTTAACCCATTCTGTGCTCCAGATTCCTTTGGCGGTCCTATGGACCCCTTCTCAGAATGATGTTTTTAAATGAAAAACATAAAATACATAGTGTTATGAAAAAACACCAATACTTTGAGACGCAGTTCTCAAAATCTTTTTAAAGGTTGTGATATTATAATGTATGTGCCCTTGTATTAACACATTAAATAACATGATTTAGTAGTGGATTTCATAACAACTGTGATTTCAAAGTACGGATGAGCATAAATGATATTTTGAAATATCTGTAACACCTGCGACATGTTATGAAAATACCCCTGATTTCTATTGGTGACCAAGTCCTAGGTACTGCAAATAGTTCTGTGGTTTGTTGTCACTGTAATAATCTGCTAGGTCTGCCATTACAAAGTCCCACAAACTGGGGGTGCTTAACAGGTGTGTGTGTGTGATTTGGCAAAGTGATACCTTCAAGAAAGCAGCCAGATGGAAGATAGGATCACGTTTCAACAGAAATGTAAGACAGTACATTTGTGTGGTTTAAGCCCCCCAGTTTATGAGACTAGCCCAACTCTATTACTAGGGTCTTTGCTTTAAACCTAAAGGAGTGTTTCCTCAATTGTATTCAAGTACAAACAGAAAGGTACTTTGAGTTCTGGAGGCTCAA